CACCTGTTTACAGCCTCCCAAAAGCTAGGATTACAGGTATGTGCCATCACACCCAGTCTCAATTGCCCTCTCAGTGCACCCTGGGGGCAGGGCCAGCATGGCAGGCCTGGGGGTTGAACCCGTGGCCCCTGTACCTGCTTGCTGGTACTTTAATCCTCTGAGCTATTTGGCTGGCCCTTTCTCTTCATTTTAATTTCTTATAACTTTTCTTTATTTTACTGATTTTGCCTGCTTATATCTGGTAATTTAAACAAAATATTATGCAAGATAACAATCATTATGGAATTCTTATTATTTTGTTTAGTGAAATTCTGTGTTGTTTCTAATTTTTAAAACTATTTTTATTCTCTTTAAAAATTAAAAAAAATTATTTTAATATTAAGTCTTAAAAAGAAACAATATACATTATAATTAAGTGTTTGTGAACTCCCAAGCATACACCTTCAGACATGTGGCAAATGTCTATGTAAACAAAGGACTCACATCTTATTCCTGAATGACCACTTGGCATGCAGTCACCATGCCTGACTATCATACACATGTGATAATGAGTGGACATGCTTGTGTCTAGTATGAATCTTCCTAATTTAATATATCATGTGTCCTAATAGATGAATTTAATTCATTTGTGTGAAATAAAGAAATGCTTTATGGATTTCCCTGCCTATAATTTTTCCATGCTTTTTTGTGAACCATCACTCTTAACTGTTGTCTTTTTTTTTTTTTTGTCACTTCTGTCTTGTAAGTTTTCAATTAACACTTGATTTAAAGGGAACTTTGTGAATCCTAGCCTGCAAAAGGTCATGACTTGTGTGAAGAATTCATGTGATAAAATCCCTGGTGGGTGTGTTGCCGGCACACTACAAGCAGGCTACATGGATGAAGTCCTCACTTCAGGGCAGCTGCGTTGCTGTGGAGAAGAGGTGGGAGCAAGTGGCTCTACAGGAAATGGTGCTGTAAGACATTCTGGCCGAAAGTCAGGGTTTGAGAAGTAGTGACGATGCCCCCAAATAAGACATGATTGATTGTGTGTACATTTTTGTACATGAAAAAATAAGACATTCCCTGAAAATAAGCCTTATTGTGTCTTCGAAAGCAACAGTTAATATGAAATCTGGCCTTATTTTGGGAGAAGTACAGTACAAAAAGAGTTACAGAACAATGGGTCAGAAACAGCAAGTTTGGGCGGGTGGGTGAGATGACCCGGGGCCCGCGGATCCTGAATAGACCCAGAGCCCAGGCCTCGTGTGTGAGTGAGACTGCCTGGGGCCCGCGGATCCTCATTCGACCCAGAGTGCAGGCCCAGT